AGGAAAAGGCTTATTCTTACTTGAAAAAAAGTTTAGAGAATATTAATAATTGATTAGAATTTGAAATATATTATTTTTATCAAGATGTATTTATTATTTAAATTTAAATATATAAATAAATTTTATTATAAGTTTTTATTTTAAAATTAGTAATATAAATTAATAATATAAAATAAATATTTAATTCTTTAAATATAATTTTGATAATTTAACTTTATCAAAATGTTAAAAGAAATCAATGATGATATCATTAACAAATTATATAATTTATGCTATAAAAAACAACATTTTAAAGATTTTTTTAAAGAAAATAAATATGATCCAAAAGATATTTATCAATATTGTTTAAAAAATCAAGAAAAATCAAAAAATCTAGTTATTCTTGTATCTTGCTATGAAAATGGAATAGGAGTTAAAAAAGATGAATATGAAACATTTAAATATTATAAGAAATCTACAAAGAGAAAAGATGTTGTTGGAATGTTTATGAGAGGAATTTGTTATAGAGATAGAATTGAAACTGATGTTAATGAACAAAAAGCATTTACATATATTAGAAAATCTGCTGATTTGGGATTTCTTAAAGGAATGTTTATTATGGCTAATTATTATTTTTATAGAATTCATGGTATTAAAAAGAATAAAAAAAAAGCATTTTATTATTATAAAAAATCTGCAGATTTAGATTATCTTGAAGCAATAAATAGTCTTTGTTATTGTTATCAGTATGGTGTAGAAACTGAAAAAAATGAAGAAAAAGCATTTGAGTATTGTAAAAAATCTGTAGAATTAGATTATATTAGAGGATTATATATTATTTCAGATTATTATCTTAATGGATTTGGTGTAAAAAAGGATGAAGAACAAGCTTATTTTTATTTAAATAAATATATAGAAATACAAAATAATAATGAATAGAAATTATTTAAATTAAATTATAATTTTTAATATATGGAATAATAAGAAATATTTTTAAGTTTATTATTTAAGAATTTTTTTTAAGATATAAAAATATGATTAATAATAAATAAGAAATTAATAATATAAAATAAATATTTAATCTTTTATTTTTTTTTAGTATTCTTATCATTAAGAAATGACAGAAAAAATTATCAAAGTTATTAATGAAATCATTGATAAATTACAATATGAACAATTTGATTTTATAATAATATCTGAATGTTTTACAAAATATAATTATAATTTTTATAATTATAAAGATATTTATAAATATTGTTTAAAAAATAAAAAAAATTCAAAATGTTTATTTGTTCTTGCAATAATTTATCATGGTGGTTATGGTGTTAAACGAGATAAAACAAAAGCTTTTATCTATTATAAAAGATCTGTAGAAATAGGATTTAATGATGGATTTAATATGATGGGATATTGTTATATTTTAGATATTCATGTAAAACACGATTTGGAAAAAGCATTTTATTATTATAAAAAATCTACTGAAATGGGTTATATTACAGGAATATATAACCTTGGAAATTGTTATTGATTTGGATTTGGAATTAAAAAAAATAAAAAAAAAGCATATGAATATTTAAAAAAAGCAGCTGATTTAGGACAAAAACAAGGAGTAAAATTAGTTATAGATTGTTATAATGAAGGTATTGGTACAAAAGTAGATGAAGAAAAAGCTTATTTTTATTCAGAAAAATTATCAAAATAATTTAAATATGAATTTTTATATTTGAAGTTATGTTTTTATATATATAAAAAATATATATATATATATATTTTATTTAAATATGATTTATTAATAAAATAAGAAATTAATAATATGATTAAATATTTAATGTATGCAATTTTTGGGATTTTAATTTATAAAATAAAAAATGTCTAATAATTTTGATGAAATTATTAATAAAGTATATGATTATTATATCAATAATTCACAAAATGAATCAATTTTTAAAATAAATCCAAACCATATTATCACATATTGTTTAAAAAATCAAGATAATCCAAAAACTTTATTGATTCTTGCATTTTCTTACTGAAGTGGTAAGTGGGTTAAGAAAAATGAAAATAAAGCATTCGAATATTATATGAAATCTGCAGAAATGGGAAATATTGAAGGAATATATTATGTAGGATATTGTTATAGATGGGGAATTTGTGTGAAAAAAGACTTGAATAAATCAAAAATCTATTTTAAAGAATCAGCTGATTTAGGACATCCAAAAGGAGCATATATGACAGGTGATAGTTATTATTATGGTGGAAATGAATTTAAACGAAATAGTAAAACAGCATTTTTTTATTATAAAAAATCTGTAGACTTAGGATATTCAAAAGGAATACCAAAACTTTTTTTTTGTTACATAAAAGGTTTTGGAACATAACAAGATGAAGAACAAGCTTATTTCTATTCAAGAAAAGTATTAGAATAATTATTAATTATTATTAAAAAATATATATTTAATATTATTAATTTTATTTATTTATTTATTTTATTTACAAATAATCATATTTTAAATTAAAATTATACGATAATTAATAATACTAAAATTTATATTTAATAAACATACGATTTTATTGTTTCAAATTCTATAATAAAAAATGTTATCTAATAATTTTGATAAAATCATTAATGAAATATATAATTTATGTAATCATGATTTAAAAATTGAAAAGGTTAAAAAATATATAAAAGAAAATAAATACAATTCAAATGATATTATCAAATATTGTTTAAAAAATCAAGAAAATTCAAAAATTTTATTTACTATTGAAATTTTTTATCAGAGTGGTATTAGTATTGATATAAATAATATTAAAGGGTTTGAATATTATCAAAGATCTGCAGAATTGGGAGATGTTAAAGGAATACTTAAAGTTGCATATTGTTATAGAGAAGGATTTGAAGTTGAAATCAATAAAAAGAAAGCATTTATTTATTATTTAAAAGCTGCAAATATGAATTCTGATATAGCTATAAATAATGTTAGTTATTGTTATAGTGAAGGAATTGGAGTTGAAAAAAATGAATATAAAGCATTTGAATATTTTAAAAGATTAGCAGAAATGAAAAGTGTTAACAGACTATATAATATTGGTTGTTGTTATGAAAATGGAATTGGAGTTTGTAAATTAGAATTTTTTGCATTTATTTATTATCAAAAATCTGCAAATATGGGACACATTATGGGAATATATAATGTTGGATTCTTTTACAGTAAAGGGATTGGTACTGAAATTAATAAAAAAAAAGCATTCAAATATTTTAAAAAATCTGCAGATTTAAGATTTAATAAAGGAATATTTCAAGTTGGATACTGTTATCAATTTGGATTAGGTGTTGAAGAAAATAAAGAAAAGGCATTTGAGTATTATAAAAAATCTGCAGATTTAAAATATCATAATGGAATTCGTAAAACAGCATTATGTTATTTAGAAGGTCTTGGTGTAAAAAAAGATGAGGAAAAAGCTTATATATATTCTAAAAAATCTTTAGAAAAATATTATTAAGATATTTTTTAATTCATTTATATAATTTTATTATCAATATTTTATATTTTAACAATATAAATGCAAATACATATTATAGCTTTAATATAAGAAAATTATATAAGCAAAAAAAATATGCAAGTAAAAAAAAAATTACAATGCAAGAAAAAAAATCTAAGTTTATTATTCATTCAACTCATATTGTTTCAATTTTTTCTTTAAACGTTTTGCCTTTAATTCCTCTTTAGCTTCGATTAATTCGTTTTCAAGTTCTTTTTTTCCTAAGTATTAAAAATAAAAAATAAAAAATAAATAAAGTAATAAAAATATTAAATAAAAAAAAAAATATATAAATACTTTTTTTCAATTTTATAATTTGCTGCTCAATGTCGAGGATGTCATCTTCAATGTATTTGATAGGTAGTTTTCTTTTAGTTTCTTTAACTTGTAAAATGGGAGAAGAAGTACCATTAGTTTGTAGGATAGAAGTGGTGGTAGTAGAAGTGCCATTAGTTTGCAGAGGAGTGGTGGTAGCAACATTTTTATTGGTAAGATCAACAGAAGAATTTTCAGTAGGTGTAGGTGGTTTTGACATATTGAAAAATAGAATTTTCTTATGATATTATGCGCAGCAAAATTTGTGACATTTCAAAAAAAATTTTAAGAAAAAAGTTGGTATATATTTTTAAAAAAAAAATTGAAACATTACAAATTTTGCTGCGCATAATATCTTTATGATATTCGAAAATTTAATATTGTATCATAGTATTAAATCTATCGATACACATCATTCTTAAAGTTATCGTAATTATTGATAAACATCATTTCTAACATTACTAATTACGATAACTTTAAGAATGATGTGTATCGATAGATTTAATACTATGATACAATATTAAAATGATCGTCATTATATAAAGTTTTATAGATATGTATGTACAACAATTTATATTATTAATTTTTTCTTTTATTTATATAGATTATATATTATAGAATAAAATTCGATAAGTAATATAAATTTAAATAAATTTATAATATACGTATATAAAAAATAAATTAAATTAATTAAATAAAATATTAATAATTAAAAATAATTAGTTTAAAGAAAATTAAATATATGAAATAGTAAAATTTTCAATATCATCATCTTTATCATGATGATATGTCCGAATTTCTTTAATAGTTAACCTATCATATACTGTAGAATTTTTATAGATAGTATATTTACCAATATCAATTATTTTAAAACATTCGATTCTATTAACAATTTTTTTCTCTAAAGATTTTCCATTGAATTCACATGTATATGAATTTGTAATTTTTTGTATTTTCTTATTTTCACACATGAAAAAAATATAATCATTAGTTCCATTTATCCCACAGTGACTAATTTTATATTGACGTGGTTCCAAATTTAAAAATTTTTGATTTTTATAATAAAAATTATAATTCGAATCATTATCGATTAAAAACCATTTTCTTTCTTTAACAGCTATAGTAATCTGTGGTGTACATGAATTACCATCTTGTTCATAATGAAAATCATCAAGATTTAATATTTCATTATCCCTTTCGAAAAAACACATTTTTTGTAAGTCATTATAATTTTCTAATTTAATGATAATTAATTTTAAAAATTCTTTTTGTTCTTTTTCATTTTTGTATTCAGATAAAGGTTTTGAATTAGAAAAATCCAAAAGATATTTTTTTATATAATCTGGAAATTTTTGTTGAAAATAAATTTTTCCATTATCAATTACAAAATAACCATCGATGTTTTTATTTTGTTCTTCATTAATTGTATCAAAATTATATTGTCCTTTTTGGTATTCAATATTCCATTCTATATTACAGAATTTTCTTTCATCACCTTTATGAAATATTATCTCTGTTGTTCTTCTTTCAAGATTATTATCTTATTTATCTTTAAATTCAACCACAAAATCAAGACGTCTATTAAACTGTCAAGATCACGTTTATTTGAATCATCAAAACCAAATGCTTCACCAGGTGTTTTTGTACTTGTCATGAATATATATTTTGTACAAAATAGAACAAATTCATTTTTAGTTTCTATATGAGTTTTGATACCATTTAAAAAATTAATTAAAGTACTATAATTAATCTTTGTATCACATTCATCAAAAAGAATAATATCTTGTCCATTATAACCATCCCAATAATCAGGTTCTGATTTTATAATTTCTAGTTTCTTGTATAATTCATTACCAAATAATTCCGTAACTAACCCAGATTTTCCACTTCCACCAGGTTCATAAAAATAAAATACAACTGGATGGCAAAAGCTTTTAAAAGTATTTTGTAAATTCATATTTTTTTAGATATTAATTTTTTTTATAATTAATATTCTTAAAATTTATGTTTATTTATATTTAAAAAAAAAAATTAATAATATAAATTTATTTAATTAAAAATAACATATAAAATACAATAACAAATAATTAAAATATTAATATTAATTGAATAAATTAATAAACTTATCTGTTGCAAAAATAATAGTTTCTTTAAAATAAATTTTTAATATTTTAATATTATTATTTAAAAGATAAAATTCATTATTAATAATATCAAATGGTTTTGTATCTTGAAAAATAACAAAACTAAATTTAAAATCATTTAAACAATTATCATTATATTTTAACATCTTATGATCTAAAAAGATTTTCATTTCGTAACCATTATCGACTTTAAAAAAATTAAAATTAAAATATTTACTACCATTTATAAAATGAAAAGAAAAACATTTTTTATTCTGTATACAATCATCTCTTGTTAAAAATCGATTTTGAGTACCATCTGAATTTTCGTAATATATAACCTTTTTTCCATTTTCATTTTCATTAAAATTTTCTTCAAGAAAGATTACTTCATTTTTAATTTTTTTATCTAATTAGTTAAAAGCTCTTGAATAAGGTTTAGCTTGAGTTTTATAAATCTCATTATGGTGTCGTTTATAATATTCTGCAATACTTTTTTGTTTATTAATAAGTTTACGATTTTTATAAGTACATCCTTCTTGAAGACAAGAAATAGAATCATCATCTTCAATTTTAAATAAATTTGAAGTAGACATTTTATAAGTTATTAGAATTTTCATACAGAAAGAATTTTTATACAAGTTTTATATTAAATTAAATATTAATATTATTATTAATTATTATTGAATTATTTGGATATTTAGAATTAATTTTCATTATTAATACATGTGTTGCCATGATTAATTGTTGTAATTGAATATCTGTATTTATTATATTTAAATTATATAAATATACATTATGAAGTATAAATAAATAAGAATATTTATTTAAAAAATTTTGTGCTTCTTGATATGATAATTCATTTAATAAATGTTTATTAATTATTAAGTTAGCTTTTTGAAAAAAAAATAAATCAAAAGCCATTTTTTTTTTTTTAATTTATCTAGTAAAATATTAAAAAAAAAAACTATTTATTTATTTAATTTTTTTATTATTAAAAAGATATTTGTTATATATTAAAATAATTAATAATATTATTTTATATGTATAATTTTTGAATGAATTTAGTTACATTTTTATATTTTTCATGAGTATATATATATGTATATATTGATTTTGTATTTGTATTATTACAAAAAATTTCAATTTCTTTTTTACATTTTTGAAAAGTAGATTTATAATATTTAAATTTATTTTCATATTTTTTTATAATATTTAATAAATTTTCTTTAGTGGTTATTAATTCTTGTAAAGTATTTTTATCAATATAAGGTTTAAAAGTTAATAATAATAAATATAATAACATAATTTCATTATTTTGTTTTGTTTTTGGATTTTCATTTTTTTTTTTTTTTTTGGTATTAAGGTGAGGCCTTGCTTATATCTTTATTAATAATTTAAAATAGTTACATGTAT